CCCCAAAACCCCAAAACCCCATCATCATAGATAGAATAATTTTCTACAGTATAAATTAAATCTAATAAAAATGGATATTTTGAATAGAACTATGTAAGTTGCAAAAGCTAATTGAGTTTTATAGAGATTTAAAGAATATGAGTCTCAAAAAATAAATGGAATTTAAAGAAATGAAATTGCCTCCACCAATTTTTGTAAACTAAGAAAAGAATATAAAAAAATTAGAGGAATTTCGAACATAAATACAAAAGAAAAGTAAGTGATAATATATTTAAGACTTTAGATCTATAGTATTTGTAAATTTCATTTTTCAATGAATCCCTTTTAGATAATTTGCTTTAGAAATCATAAGCTGGATTCTTTAAAACAAGAAATTAATTCAAGCAAAGTTTAACTATCTCAGATCAGAGATGAGAAAGCTAGCTCAATTTATCAGGAATATTGGTTGACAACTTTGATAAAAACATGAATAGTTTGGAGTTTGAGTCAATTATAAGCAAGAAGTATAATATTAAGAACAAGGAAAGTCTTGAATTCAAGGAAAAATTAAGAAATCTCATTGATGGTTATAGATAGCAAAAATTTTAGAAAAACAAAAATGGTAAATACAGGAATTTAATTGATATTTTCTATAGATTAGCAAAAAGATGCAGATATAAAAAGACTTATTCTTCAATTGAGAAGCAATGATATATAAAAACCATAGGAATATGACACTTAAAAAAGGTGAGATAGCCAATCTTTTTTATTTTATCTAGAAGAAGAAGTAAATAGCAACAGTTTTATTCATTCAGAGATGATCCAGATGTTACTGGATCTCTTGATAGACTACATGATCAGAGCAAGTATTGAAATTCTAACATAAGTTTTATGAAAATCAACGACTAGTAATCTTCAACTTACGAGTAATCTATTCACTAATTTGAAAAAATTAATGAAGATCTTGAATCAAGATTCAAAACTATGAATACTTTAGATATTCATAGCGTTCCACTGATAAATTCAAATAAATAAAGTAGCAGAAATTTTAATTATTACTAAAGATAACAAACTACTAATAGTATAATGAATAGCACTATAACTAACTTAAAATTAGGAGAGGACACTCAGCTAAGAAGAAATATTAAAAGAAATAATAGGAAAAGTATTGGTGAGTATACCATTTTCTTAATATATTGCATTCTATAGATAGAATAAAGTTACTAAATATTGTGGCCTCATGCAGTAAAACAACTGATTAAAAATCTATCAAGAGTGATAAAAAATTTGATTAAGACCTAATGCTTCGGTAAATTCATTTAAAAAATTCACTGCCTTATTTAGGATGTAAAATGTAGCTCATGATTCATAGGAAATATCAGATGCATTATAGAGATATTTGGATTTAAAAGCTTATCAAACTGATTCTAGCTAGGACAATAGGTAAAATTTATTCTCTTATTCATTTAAAAATTATATAGCTTTGATTTGATTTTGAACGAAAATAAAAAAATAAGAGAGAGTGATTATTCTAATTTTTTATCAGAGCAGTGTATATCTTAAATTAAAGAGAGATTTAACTTATAGTACTTTAGATTATTAAAGGGAAAAATGAATTGAATACTATTGGAAAAGAAATTTATTTTATAATTCCAATTTAATATATGATATAGTTTGAAGGGGTTTTGGGGTTTTGGGGTTTTGGGG